AACGTTGGCAGACAATCTCGATCAGTTAACTTCTTCGCCGCGTCCATTTGCAGTTGCAGTCAGTCCCTCAGGGGTGTCCGACATACCGACAAAATCATCCGCAAACAGCATTCCTGAAACCGACGTTTCCGTGTCCCCTACTTTTACTCCCTTCCGGACTGCCTCTACGACTTCCAACAGATCGTTGATGAACACCTGGAACAATGTTGGGGACAGCGTGCAACCTTGTGGGACCCCCTGCTCAATGTCGAAGAATTTAGACAGTTCTCCGTCTAGCATGACCGCACTTTCCGTACATTCTGTCATCTTCTTCAGCACTCTCCACATTTTCCCCTTGATCCCGTATTTGGACAGTTGTTTCCACAGCCAATTTCTCCATACGGTGTCGAATGCCTTTTTCACGTCCAGGTAGCAGCAGTACGTCGGCTTTCCCGCCCTCTTTCTACCTTGGATGATTCTCCCTACCGTGAATGCGTGGTCTACGCACCCCCTCTTTTTTTGGAAACCTGCCTGGCCCTGACTCATGCTATTTATATTTTTTTTGTCTCCCATCATTGGACTCTGTCGTCTGCCCCTCTGGCCCCTATCCTCCACTTCTACCAGCTAGACGAACCAACCGGGGTCACATAGGAGGGGGGGGCTGGACCCCCTCCTGCGGTTCCTGCCTGAGATATTTTTATCGTGAGAAGGGTACAACAATCCCTTCCCTCGCGACTTTTGAAGTCGATCCGACTTGTGAAGTCGTTCAACTTTACTATTGTACGACATGGTGCCCACAATTTTCTTGATAATTCCGCCGCACCTGTTCGTCGACTGCGGCCCTCAGGCCAGTGGAGGTAGAATATTTCTACTTGTACCAAGGTGCAGATATTCTATTGAGGTTTATCAGTGACCGAACCACATTAGTACCCCATATCCCAAATAATAACGACAATAGTCACCTGCACATTTCGTGAAACAACTGCGGTACGAGATCACGTTTGTCTTAGCTCGTTTTTCTTGCTGTTCTATTTACTTCTCTTCTACCTGTTACTTCTTCCGACTGAATCTAACTGCGCATTTCCTACGGATTTTCTAGTTACATCTTTGTCGCGTTACTCATTTTGAAATCGTAATTTCTCACTTATACATCTCACACGATTCACAATTGTTTGTGACAACCAACCCGATTTATTGCCAGCTCCCTTATCGTTTTCTTACTATGTCAACTGCGGTCTTCACGCCAACGGCGGCGTCCACTGTCCGATGCTATTTTCATCTGAATTATTGTGCGTAAACATTACGATTGTACATAGCTCTATTAATAAATGTATCGCAATGAAGACAATACAGTTCTGAAAATATCACGACCATTGTGTAACCGTGTTAGTTTTTTACTGAGGTGGGAAAAATGAAACAGATCTTGATGAAACATATTTATTTATGTGGTACCATCGAAATGAAGTAGAATATGTATCTGTGTTTGTTGCACATCGCACGCACCGGTTGCACATTCCAGCTTCAAGCCGTCCACATGTTTGTCATGTTGGCTTCATCGAGTTGACCATATCCGTAGTTGGCATCGTCATGCGGGGATGGAAAGGACAACGTGGATAAAAAATCCATGTTGACTACAAAAAAAGAATCAACTCAATAGTAGCTAACGATGTTGGTCGATCGGCGAAATGCACCCCATTTCTTCTTTTGCACGGTGGCTATGAAGGCGTTGTCAATGAGGAACCCGGAGTAGAACTTTTGGTCGGACTCGCTCATGTTGGTGAACTCCTCGCCGTCACATAGGTAGAGTTCCTCGAGCGCCTGGAAAAGGGGCGGGCGTCGGCTAAGTACCCCTCTCCTTCGGAGACGATGCGGTCGACAGATCAATCGTTTCCGGCGCCGCTGCTGTCGGTGAATCGGAAAGGCGTTGGATGACGCTAAGTTCCGGTGACAGAGTTAGGATGTGGTAACTAGTTCGTTGCTGAGCACCCCATTTCTTCTTCTGCACGGCGTCTATGAAGGTGTTCTCTATGAGGAACCCGGAGTAGAACTTCTGGTCGGAACTCGCTCATGTTGGTGAACTCGTTACCGTCACACAGGAAGAGTTCCTCGAGCGCCGAAGGAGAGGGATACTTGGTCGACGCCCGCCCCTACCCGACCTTCACCGTCTTTTCACCAGGTGTACCCGATTTTGGCCCATAAACAACTCTTTTGTAAACCGCAGTCTTTACCGCATCGACTTGCCACTCAACTTAACTACCGTCGGGTTGCGATTCGGGCCCTGGCGCCCACTGGGGGCGGCGGGGCCCTTCAATGCCCTAGTTAACATAAATCCGTCCGCGGTCATACACGAACCAGAGCCCAAACACAGCGGCTGCTACTTTGCTTGCCAGTTACAGAGAGACAAACGACCAGCCTCTGTCCTTTCCAGTGCTTACAAATACAGCTCCGGGTGAACGAACTCAGCAAAGGGGCACTAGACCCATGCCTGCATTTGTCTGCTCTCTGTACCACCGCTGGAGGGATTGTCTCAACGCTAAATGACATCAAGCAGCACTATCTACCCAGATTCCAGACGATACGAAGACAGCGCCGCATGCTGCACGTGGATTTCAGCAACGCCTCAAAGTGGATGTGATTCACACTCGAGGGAGAGAAAGAGGAGAGATCAAGTTGCACTTGTCAACAGGCAGTGTTCGGTGTATCGGGAGTGCAAACGTTTAACATCATGACATAATATTACAGTTTTCGCCCTCGAGAAGCTTACCTTCCCCACCCCCTCCATACGCAGCCCCGCCCTGCATCCTCAAAGATGCCTCTCGCGGGGGAGCGAGCGAAGTTGGTGTTCGCCTCTGGCCCCTCTTGCTCCCACTGCCGAGGGATGAAGTCCATGCCGGCGCAGCCGCAGATACTCTGGTGCGGCGATAGCTAGACGGTGGGGAACAGAAAGAGTCTACGGCTGGCAGCGCGACCAACGCGACAGCAACAGCACATTGAAACCGCCAGCGCATGGTATGGTGACGTCGGATGGCCTGTTTGTGCTGTATGTACTCTCTCGCTGCCTTAAGTGTACCACTAGTGAACACGTAGACACGTGGACTCCGGCGACCGGAGACCGCAGACCGTACGGCAGCGGCGAGACTGTGAGGCTGAAAAGAGGGGACGACAGGAAACGAACCCCGGGGTCATTATCTCTTGAATTACATACGGTCCTGAGGGTATTGAGCTTTTGCGGGACAGGAGGAACAGCTTGCAGTCTTGGTTGGTTGTCGACTCGTCGACTTGTCGAGCAGTGCAGCATGCCGCCGGCCGCAGATCACGGATAGAGACAGCAGTGTCTTCGCCCTCCCTTATCCAAGCCTCTTTAACCGATAGCATCTCTCGTCGCTCAAAAGCCAGGAGTATCTCCAGATCGACATCTGCTACTGAAGTTGGACATGTACCTGAATGTATCTGGTAATCTATGGTGAGTTGCCAACCTGCAACCTCTTGTAATGAAATTCTGCTGTGCAACTAAACATGAACGTTGTTTACACATGGACCGAAGACCAGGGCTGACACGATATTCCAACTGCGGACACCGCCACATTGGTCCGCACGGCCTACCAGAACCGCCAACCGCCAGCAGCACTGCAGTGGCGCCGCGAAGATGGAGCACATGTATGCCTGATATTTGGCATAGCTAGACTACGGACGTGCGGTGGTGGGCAACAAGATATGGATTGAATACACCAGTATTTAGAAGACGTGTGCAGTTTCTCTCGGTGTTGTATGGAGTATTTAAAGTGCACGCTCTTTGACAATAGTCTAGACTGTACCGGAGAGAAAATACACATCGCTAACAGAACGAATGACAGAGAGCGGATCGGCCCGAGCGGTAGCAAGCGCCGTGCACAGCAGCGCATGTAGATTAATCTGGCTGTAAGAGGGCCAGCTGTTGTGTCCATCGCGTTGGGCCGGTATAATTCTTACACCCGCCAGAGGAAGCAACCTCACGCCAAAGATCATTTCTTGTGCCAGCTGTAAGTTAATCAAGTGCTTGCATACCATCTTTTGGTATAGATGGGGTGACCTTATTATGCACTTCTGTGTATAAGAAGGCACGCGACGTTACGGTGCATCCCCTGGACCGATTTTCCCCCCTGCCGAAGAAAGCTTTCATCTTGGCAAACCTTGTACATTGTACCGCGCTCACGCACGACAAGCTCCCTACCCCTGTTGATGGGCATTTTCAATCAGATGAAAAAACAATCGAGAACCCCCCCGGAGGTAGAGCTTCAGAAGAAGTATCAAATAAACCAGCTGCCTCCAGCTATACTGCAGACAACGTTCTGCCGTCCGGATGCTCATGGATGGATGTGTAACTACCCCATGCACCAGCAGTTGGAAATGGCTCAAATTAACATGACTCAACTTGAATCATCACTGGGAAGCAAATCAAGACCTTCACGCGGGTGGAAATTGTTGACTTTGACAAAAAAGAAAACTAGGGCTGCACATGCATTTTCCTTCCCACACCTTCTCGTGGCCCCACTTACTCACCAAGTACCAACTATACCGACGGCCGTCTTTCCCCCGACAAGCAAATATGCTACGAACACATGGAGGGAACATATCTAAATAGATAGTTAGCTCTCGCACATAAAAAATGCAAGTGTGCCCGACAAAATCGCTGGAAACCATGACCTGCAGTATACATTGTCTCCCGTTTCCTCGCAATCTACGGCAGCACGCCATCGACTACCTCAGCAAGGACAAAAAACAAGCTTTGCTGTAGAAATTCACTGTTCTATACCTTCGGGTATAGAGTCTAGCACAGTTATCGGCAGGATAGGCAATCACAGCAGACGCTTATCCGCGAAGGTGGCTGATGAAAAGGGAGGCAAAACCTTCTTTTCAGTGCACCACCGATAAAACAAAAAAACAAAATCCGAACGCCGAACAACACTCGAGGCGTTGGCGATCTCTCTCTCCGTCTCAACACGGGCAACACAAAGATCGGTCGATCTCGCCTTTTACTGTGGCCAATACCCCCGCCCCCTTCGCCAACAGCCGTCACGCTTCAAACGGTAGGAACTCCGAACACCCTCATTCAAGAAAAAAACGGCGTGGATGTAAACTTGGGTTCAGTCCAACGGCCAATATAACATCAATACACGCAAACCTCATCACCATCCGGACGATTATGATGCATACAACCGCAGCACGTTCCTGACGGCTTTCGGTAAAACTGCGAGAAGCGAGCACAAGACGAGGGAACTCATCACACTGGGGAGTGCAGAAACAGACGGAGAAAGAGCAGGATGAAAGCAACAGCCAGAGTTGGGGGAGATGGGATAGATTGCCACGAGAAATAGAGAAAGGTCGGCCGGTCGGGGCCCCCGCCAACAACGAAAACCTATGGATACTTGAGCCTTTCGCAGGAGGCTTACCCCAGGCTGGGGCAGCCACGCACACACCGAGCAAAAAACACCGCGCGAATCAACCCTTGCAACAACATATTCCGGGGGCGTTGCCCACACGTACAAACAGCTCAGTCTTACCACCGCTCCACTGCCTGCAGCAGGAGAGAACAACAGAAACCCAGCAAATAACCAGCCCTGCCATAAATCGCCGGGCTCCTGCAGGGCAGCTAGTCTCCACCTGCTTCTGGGCTGTGCGACATGGAGGCATTAGTTGTTGGGAGACACCAGGGGGGGACTCAAAACCCGGGCACCTCACAGCAATCGACTCTGATCGATCACACCATAGCCTGGGTGCTCTCCATTTTCCCACCCATCGATTGTTGCAACAACCACACACAGTTCTCCGCAGGGCCGCTGCCGATCGCAAACCAGCTATAACGCACAAAGAAACCTCTTGAAACGAGCAAGACAAGGAAGGATTCTCATTTTGCTTGTCCTTTGCCTTCTCTTTCTCAAAGGGAAAAAAAAAGGTCAAAACAAGCAGCAAGCCGACTCGTCACCTTCAGAAACAAGGTCCACGCCTTCGCTACCGAGGGAACTCGTGTGACAACACGCCGTGCCAGTCCTCTCGCGGTCGGGGTAGAAATACCCGCACCCCAAACTCAGCCAACTTTCGGCGTATTTGTTTGGGGGAAACACACACCATCCCCCCCGCCCCCGCCGCTCCCCCTAAAAAAAAGTGGCATGTATCAGTCGGTCAATAACTACTACTGTAGATGTGGGTGTTTCTAAGATACGAGGCTACACTAGGTTACACCAAGGCTCAGACGATGGATCTCATGTCAAAACCGCTGCCAAATGGATTGGTCGTCGGAGTAGCCCTTGCCCCCGTCAGGCAGCTCCCCCTCCTGCCCAGCCAACTTCTGTGCCTCGGCGTGGGCCAGCTGCTGCAGCTCCTGTCGGGACAAGAACGAGCGAGAGGGGCACGATGTCGTGTGTGGTCATAACGTCATGAGAAAGCGACTTCGACCAAAGCACATTTGTATGTCGAAGAATAGCATGTTCGTTGTTTCCGAACGAGCCAAGGAGCAAAAATAAACGGTGTTTCGTTGAGTTTCTTTCAACGGCAATAATTACAGGAGCTATGTCTTACCAGGAGTTTTGCTGAGGGCTGCGAAACAGAGGGGGAGATAAGAGAGAGTGAAACAGATGTGTATATAATGTAGAGAGAAAGAGAACTAACGAGATCCTGCGTATCGTCGAGTGCGTCTTGATTCACCGCCGTCAACGAACCTTTGACATACGTAAATTAATCAACCAGCGAATGAACGAGGGACAATCCCTACACGTCAAACGTCAATTAATCGTCATCTGAGGACAAAAAAGATAAAGAAGCATGGCGCCAAAAAAGGTCCTCACAACTCACAACCGAAGCTTTCCATGTTTCAGAGCTGTTTCCTTTTGAGCTTTTTTGGCTAATGACGTGCTGGCAGAGAATCACAACCACCAACCTGACTGGCATTCCCAAACCAAACAACGCGACAAAAGTACGTCGAAAAACCTCATGATTGAGACCCACTCTACGTCTACATGTACAAGCGATGTCATGTACAAGCGACCGCGCAGATTGCGGGTACCTTGTCCGGAACTCAACTCCAGAAACATAAGACACTCCTGCTTGCCGTGCTCCCTTTTTCCCGTCCAGCTACCTACGGGTGGTAGGCCTCTCTCTCCCCCTCTTCCTCTCTTTCTCTCTAGATACACGCCAAATCCCATCCGGGGCCGGGGTCATAAAACAAAACACAAACGATTAATCACAACCACTACGCGTCCCCTCAGCCCGCGAACCGCTTTCCTTGGTGTGGTGTGAGACAGTGAGCGAGAACGATGGTCAGGGGGGCACCGCACCTGGTTGTAGCACTCCCCCGCCTGCACACCCCCCCAGTCGAAGCCCGCGAACCACTGGTGTGTCTTTATCGCAGCGATGTCGTCCGCTTTCGAGCCCAGTCGCTCCCTTTACAGATACAGACACACGGGGACAGGGCGGACACAGACACAATTTTCCGTCTATCAACGGAACGTTCTTCTGCTTCTTCTTTTTTTCATCTGGTTCTTCTTTGTCTCCTTGTCCTCTTCGAACCCTCCGTACCGGTATGACGCTGACCATCTTCACATGGTTGTTTTCGTGTCATGTTCCCAACGTTTGAAGAGTTGGAAGGCGGAAGGAATGCTTATGTTTGCGCGTTGTTCATGGTGCGTGCGTCTCATCTCACCAACTCTCTGGACGCCAGTTTCGACATTTTCCTATACTTTCGGAACATCCAGCTGGGTTTTTCATAGGAGGAAAGGCCACACTTCAACCGAGAACGCGTTGTCTACCAAGAACAACACGGACGGTGTTCTATCTATACCAAGCACACGCAACACCACATACTCACTGTGGGTCGTGGTGAAGTAGGCGGTCGATGAAGTCTCCCATCGCTGGTACGAAGGACGTGGGGATCTCCAGCATGCCCGCACGGTGCGAGCTGATCTTGTTGTAGATAGTCATCTCAGAATCAGCTGCAGCAAGCGCCACGGCAGGTACAAGTGAAGTGAGAGGAAGGGGGGCAATAGAGAAGAAAACAAGGGTTGCATCGAACCGATAAATAACATAGACGCGTCAAACACGGGATGCCTGATGGGTGCGCACTTACCTCTGTCTCAACGCTCGTCGCAAACAAACAGCGGAGGCGGGAGCTCGTGGAGGGCAACATGCAAACCCAGACAACCCACTCAAGCAGGAGCGGAGCCGCCAGCAAGCAGGCATACTGGCGATGCAAAAACTTGACCTAGTACTAATAGATAAAAAAAAAAAACTGCGCATGGTGGCACAAAAAAATAATGTCACCGACGTTGCAAGGAGTGGGCAGTAGTGTAGCACATCAGAATGGACGCGTGCCTTGCAGCACGTACAGCACACACCTTGGAATGGAGACGTCCCGTGGGAGAGCTCATAGATGAGCACCCCCAACCCCCAGAAGTCGACGGCCTTAGAGTGCTCCTGGTGTCGAACCTGCATCGTTCAACGGGTCCATCCACGCCAACACCACAACAGCAACAAGACGCGACCCGAGCCGATCCGCGCCGAGGACGAGAAAAAGAGGGACACACCTTGAGACTGGGGATAAAACGAATCCTGCCAACGTTGTAAATGGGGGTGATTCACACCAAAAGCTGCAATTGTCACCTATTTGTCAATCCGTCATGCTGTAGAGCGACCGGCTTGTTTGATGAAGAAATGGGTTTGCCAGAGGTCGAAACAGCATGAAGTAAAGAAAAACACTTTGCACAGCAGTAACGCCTCAGCCTATCTCCGCCGTTTTTCACCCCAGAAAACAGTACACCACGAGCAGCCGCAGTCGTCATGTTGAATTTGCAAAATACCATCACAGCAGTGCCATAGGCTAGCTGCTGGAGGTGACGACAAGATGCCAGATTGAGAAGGTTCAACTTTCACCGCCAGCCCAGTTCATGGCTCTTCATACGAGCCCAGAAACATTCCATGAAAACTGAAAGCAGCATCCCCCGCTACCACATGCCGCATACCGTATATATACCGTATTCCATAATATTCACCTGCTCGGGCGCCAAGTACTCTGGAGTTCCACAGATGGTGAAGGCGTCCGTTGTGCCGAGCCTGGACATGCGGTACTCCATCAGCACGGCATAACCCCTGGTACGGCATCACCAGTGGCACCGTGTAGCGCCCGGGGCACCCCACAAGACAAAAGGCGTTGTTCAAAAAATAGTAGAGCACGAACATGGGCGCAGAACCACACCAAGCGGATGGACAAAGGCGGTGCAGGGTGCTCTCTTATCAGCTTGGTACTGCTGTATGGGATCGGATTGTCACGTAAGCTACACAAGCACTCCTATCCGTATCGAGGTAGACGGAGGAGGATCTACTGCTACTGCACGTAAGCTACACAAGCACTTCTATCCGTATCGAGGTAGACGGAGGAGGATCTACTGCTAGAAGGAGGTATATCTACTGTTGAAAACCGGTAGATCGCACACCATCGACCTATGCATGGTCTGAAGTCTGCGATAGACACCATGCCTATTCGCGCACATGAACACCTATCAAACCCTGGGGACGTCCGTAAAAATGGGTGTGTGAGCAGACCTGTACATGCGCTGTCACCGACAACGAGAGCTGAAAAGAGAAAAAATCAGGACGGCAAATGAAAAAGAAAAAGGTCAGTTGAATATCTCCACCCGACTCGCTACCAGCTTTGAAACAAATTTTAACACGCACCATAATGCATCAAGTGATAAGAGTATACCGTACCTGCTGTCGAGAAAAACGAGCTCTGGGCTGAGCGCGCGATAGAGGACATCGCATCTGTGCAACGCCTCCAGCCCCAACACCAGACACGCCGTCAGGTGTCGCACCATATCCTGCGGCACGACCGTCTTCATCTCCATCAACGAGCTGCAAGCCAAAAAACAAAGCAAAACGATCAACAATCCTCCCCCCCAAAAAAATATCGGGAGGGTGTAAATAAAATGCATTCGTGTGCGGCCAACGGTCCAGGCAATACAGTATTGTGAGTTCGCCACGGGTGTGTGTGTGCGTGCAGCGGCGGCATCCGAAAGGGTAAGGGTAGCTGGCGCCTGCAGTCACCACACAAGAAAGAGCGGTACCAGGTACGCCGTGTAGTTGGAGGAGGACCGTTGATCATTTTCCTTCCAACTCCATCTCCAATTCCCACTCCCTCGCCGCGACCGTACTTGCGCATGGAAAACTTGAGGAAAAAAAACAAGGTCAAGATCAAGGTTTCTACCGTACCCTTTTGGGGTAGTAGTAGTTGGCCTGAGACCACAGAAGGCGTCCACGTCAGTTGGACCGGTACGGATGTTGGAAGGGTACAGCAGTACTATGCAGAGACCGGAAAGTGTTTTAACGTTAAGCAACCACAACAAGGTCGACATAAACCAACGAGAGCGGCAACAGCAACAGCAACAGCACCAGCACCAGCACCAGCACCAGCACCAGCACCAGCGGCCCCAACAACAATCACTCCCCGCGGCTGCGAGAGTGGATTCAGGTCAAATCGCAGTCAAAGGCACATGACGTATTGCACCCGTGGCAAAATCAGCCTTATTTCCACGCGTGACCGACTCTACAACAGACCGGATCCCATGCTTGAATACGCTCGGAATTTGAATCCGGGGGTCCAGACGTCCGGGGGCAGGCAGGTGTTATGGTGTATCTACAATACTGCGCAAGGATAATAGGGGGGGGGGGAGGAGCACGGGTGATGTGATATAACATCTTCCCCGTGCGATATCGGGTTGGAGAAACGTCGTCCATGCAACGCCAGACGGAGCCCAGGCGTGAGTTGAGGTTCGAAATTTCAAGGATGGATGATGTGAGCAAAAACAACGAAGCCAAGGGGGTATGCACGCATAGGCATAGGTTCCCTTGACGTTGCCTGCCTACTGTACCTTAGGGTGCACACGGCCGAGACTTGGTGCAGGACGTGAAGGCTAGCCTCCATGTTGTACGTGCTGACCAACGGAGGCACTGCAACGCACCTGCTGGACGGCAGACCGGCCGCACGCACAAAACGGAAAGACGAACGGAAGCCATGTCGGGTCATGTCATGTCATGCCATCGGAATGCGAATAGGGCACGTGGCATTAGTCTTGAGTCACGATCTTGACATCGATACAACAAGCACCAACATGTGGTCGGTCCATCATGCGCAAAAGTGGAATGGAGCTTCTTTGTGATTCAACGCGCGCACTGGCGGCGAGCACGATGCACAACCACGGAATGTTCAAGTCCATCCCCGTCAACGCTCTTCACAGCCGACGTCAAATGTTCGTAGGGTCCAACCATCCCGTCCCAGGACATCTGCCCAACACACAATTAAGGACAACAACAGCCGAAGCCGGCACGCCATGCCATGCCATGCCATGCCCTTGTGCTAACCGTTGTCTTCTTACACCCCACAGGCTGCTAGACAAACCACGCCCAACGAGAGCGGTAGCCGGAGGCAGCGTCACACAAAAAATCAGTGGCAACAGATTCGAACACTTTTGCGCACAGCAGGCACTGCTGCTAGGAGCCGACGACAAACGTCCACAGCATGTAGGCCAATCTATTGTACCGTCAGCCTGCCCACTACGTCCATGACTCCACCAGGTCACAAAGACAACACATATCAGTGCGGAATAGACGCACGCACGTACAGCTAGCTGAGATACGAAGATCTAACGAACCCAGCCCTTAAAAGATACCAAGGGTGTGTTGGGTAAGGTACATACCCGGGTGCAATTTGGGTTTTTGTCGGGTATGTACCCGTACCCAACGTTCGGGTACGTTGGGTATGACTCTCGTACCCGTACCCAAATTCTGGGTGCGTTCGGTACGACCTCTCGTACCCGTACCCGACGTACCCAAAATACGGGTACCACACCCGTACCCATACCCAAAATACCCATGCCCACGCATCATCTACCCGGGTTACCCGGGTACGTTGGGTACGACTCTCGTACCCGTACCCAAATTTGGGTACGTTGGGTACGACTCCCGTACCTGTACCCAATTTCTGGGTACGTTGGGTACAGGACCCGTACCCGTACCTATATTCTGGGTACGTTGGGTACAGTACCCGTACCCATACCCAACGTACCCGTACCCTGCCCAACACACCCTTGAAAGATACCTACAGGAGCATTTCGACTCACGACCAGCCCTCCTATCCTTTCCAGAGCAGCGCACAGGAGGTGCCGCACAGAGTAAACACGGCCTTTAAAACGAAGACAGAGACAGCCAGTGCAGAGTATGTACCAACAACGACCGCGTGCTGTTCCATGCTCAATACTATGGAGCACGCCAACATCGAGAACGAAAACGATGGACTAGATTGGAAGCGAATCTGCTCTGGGGTGGCGGAGGAGATGGAGGTAAACACGCGTGCTACCCTTACCCCAGTCGCATTGTCGGAGCCTCGGCGATGTGCTTGAGCATCTCCGACGATTTGAGAACCAATGTCCGCTGTTGCTCCGCCACCACATCGGATTTCCACATCGTCCTGCCAGCCAGGCGATGAACAAGCACGCAAGCGCGCGAAATACAGCAGTTTCACGTGCAATAGTAGCATACTACCGACACACGGACAGGTCAATATCTGAATCGCGCGAATGCTGTAGGAAGACACAGCACCAGTGCCGCGGACTGGCAATTGCTGTTGGGAACTATTGCTGTAGGCACAAAGAAAAAACATACCCCAAACATTGCAGCAAGACACGAACATCACCTCTTCCACGTAAACAACGGCGACGTACGAACCTTAGCGTAAAGGGAGTGGACTTTTGTGGCAATCGGCACGCGTTGATCTGCCCGAGATCGTCCTTTGCGATCTCCCCCAGGAGTTGAAGATCCTGTCATCAAGTCATCAAGTCATCAAATCACCCACGGACGACGTTGCAGTGGTAGATGCGTGTTCAGTGCGCGGCGTCAGAGTACGAGAACACACGAGAGGATAGCGCAGCAGCACAAGCAGCAGCAGCAGCAGCCGTACATCAGGCAGCCCGTTTAAAGCTGAGGTTTCTTCGACGCCACACAGACAGGAAAGTGAATCGTCTCGTGTGGGGCCTTCGTCGTGCGTAGCCCCCGGCTGGTGAGCCAAAAAAACAAAAACATTGCACCGGAAGGTGAAAAGCGCGCGTGCAGAATCGATGGGATGACAGCACAAACAACACAGCCTGCTTTCCGAGAGCTCGAGTTAGATATTGTAGATGCACCTGAAGCATCGGGACCCCCCCCCGATCTTCCCGTTTTATCCGTTCCTTGTCGATGAGCGCTGAAAGCGGCCCCAGCTGCTCTTCAAACGCCTGCTGAGACAGCACCAAGCATCTCACCTGCGGGATGGAATCGGGCAGAAAGATGGACGGAATTCAGGTGCACGGTATGCGGATCGTCCGAAACAAACAAGACGCCAAAGGCGTGGCCTGCGCTCTCGGCATTTAGCTAGGTTAGCCGGTAAGGGGTTGACCAAGCCGGCGCTCCCAGATCACTGCTATGTGTCACTTCGACAGAGCAACACCACCTCTTTCTTGACAGATAGGTAGCCTTCGCCTTCGCCCCGGGACAAAAACCGTTCCGTAGAACGTACCCACTCAGTATGTCGGAGCTGCTGCTGCCTCACTTATGGTACCAATCCCCCCACACCCACGAGGACCCTCGACACCAAGATAACCTACAGCAATACCGTCGCCAAAAACAATATATAATGATATTTACATCGTACTCCACTAGAAGGTCACGGCCCAGTTGCTCTGTTGTTTTGGCATTCGGTACTCTGTCTGCACAAAGGCCATTGGTCAATGTAATATAGGGGTGTTCTTTTAAATCATTACTAATTGTTCATCGCGTTTAAGGATTTTCAGGTTTTCAGGTTTGGGAGTACATATCATCCTGTCGTGGAACTATTATACTCAAGATAGGACAATCAAGCTACAGCCGCAACAAGCTTGGCTCTCAACCGACCAAAGATGTCAGAATTTACCAAAGCACCAGCAGCAGAAGGATCGTCGTGCTCCACACCTCATCGAGATATCACCGGTACATGTACCCACGAGCAGACACACACACAGCGCATTTGCGCACTTTTTCGGGTTTTGGCAACATTTAGCGACGGGCCTTGATTTTACCCGTTGGCCAGCCGATTAGCGCGGTCAACGCTTATGAATACCATTAAAAACACGCACACGGCATGCTGGTGGCGGTGGGTGGGGCGTACTCATAGTCGTGCATGCCGTAGTCGTTAGACCATTGACCTCGCATCCCTACAAAGCCGGGACGGAGCACGCCGGGTTCTCACCGGACCAGGCTCTCACATCACCAAGCGCGAAGCGCCGTGAGATATTCGGCGAGTCGCATGAAGGGTGCGCTGCATCCTGCTAAGGGTGTTCGGCATCTTGTGCTTACTTCCTTGCGTACGGATGACAGCTGCGTATGAATTAATTTATTTTCTGGTGCTTTCACTTCCAGAGACAGTTGTAAGCACTGTGTAACTGCCTCGAGGGTGCTTGACCATTTTAACACAACGTGGTGCGATCATCCCCCTTGCGCGGAGTGAGGGTGCTCCACCCCGCACAACATGATCTACTCGACCACCATTATGGTTACCGCCAAAAAAAAAAGAGGTTAAAAAAAACCCGGCAACCTGGTTGCCGAGTTCACGACGTGACTTGGCTTGTTCTACAACGTCGTTGCCAAGGGACGAAAACCCAACCCCGATGGCAAACACC